GTAGTGGTGGCGATGCATCGTTAAGATACTCACATTTTGTCCTTCAACCCTATCAATCATTTCGTTGGCCGTTTCTGCACTCGATCCAAGATATGTATATCTCTTTTAAGCGGAGAAGGTGCGATGACGTTGTGAACCTCCAGATGCGGACGTGCATATGTCTTCGGTCGGAACTCTTCAAGGAGACTTTACACTTGTGCCAGGCTTTCCTCTTTGCATGGAGAAAGCGTTTATTGCTGCACCTAACCCTCGTTCTTCTATTCTCGGGTGTGTGATGTGACTGAGGAACATTGTCTAAGACATTATAATGGATAATGTCTCTCACTGTTTGCCAGTGATCATCTACTGCCGGCCTCCAACACCTCCGTGGCCATGGAGCAAGTAGGAGGATCTCGTGTATAATTTGCGGTAGGGTTGTGAAGAGAGGGTTGGTTTGCCTCCTGCCATAGTGTTTCGTTTATGACAATGTTAAAAATGTCTGTGTCGTGGTCACTAATTCCTAGTGACGTATGGATGTGAATATCCTCGACCAGAAGCGGATCATTTGTTTACAAGTAATCCAGGTTTGAGGTTTTTCCTTCCTTAGTCTATCTGGTGGCACTGCATACATGCACAGTCAGCTCATAGCTCCTAATAGTACCAACCAGTGGGAGTTGTGGGCTGTTTGCTGAGATTTAGAAATAGGGTGTTGAAATACCCAAGCAGTGGCAGTTGGAGTATTGCGTCAGTCAGTTTGTCTTTCTAAATCTTAGTGCCTGAAGAGTCAGAAAATCCCTTTAATCAAGTATTTTGTTCCAGTGATCACATTTTCTTTGAACAACTGCTTTCTCGCTTCGCATCTTTCAAGCATACACAACTCGAGTAGTCAATTTCCTTTGCCATATGCAGGGAGGAAATCACACAATTTGTTAATAGTTTTTGTTTTATTTATGACTTGTAGCAAATGGCTTGGTGAATTCGGAAGTTTCCCGTTGTTGCTTCGGTTTGTTTTCTGAAAAACTTATGGGTGTCTGTTGTAATATAGGTCCACAGTAACCCAATAGATAGAAGGTGATCTTTTTACTGATCGCCAATCTTTCTACATCCAAAATGTAATCCGAAAAACTTGTATTTTAATGGGCAACCGTGAGACATCTCAGCGATCAGTAAAGCTTTTACTACTTTTTACTACTCGGATGTATGACCTTAAAATTATAGGAACCAAATACCGACGCTAAATCTGCTCTGCAACTCAACAAATGACATCATACAATTCCGACCATTGAGTTCTTGAGTGCTTGTATCTACTCGAAAACTTCTTCCACAGCCAACTATTTACATATAACTGTGGACAGAACGCATTCGTAATGCGAAAAAGATGTTTTTCGTGCAAACAAAGTTACTAGGCAGACAAGTGGAACAGTTCGTTATCATGTACGATACTTATAACACCTACTGGCTATTATGTTGTCTACGGTATTTTTCCGTGCCGTTATTTCGCCATTCTATCTAAAGAGCATGTAGTGGTATGCTTTTACGAGGAGATGAAATGGAAACACTTATTACTGTAAACAGTTATAGCTATAACTGTTTTATTGTACTCTTTTTTGTTTAACTCTACTAAAGACTGCAAATCTCGCTCTAAGCGTGTTACTCTCATTCCTCGTTTCCCCTTAGCGTTTGTTAGCTGCCGCTTTATTCCGATCTTGATATTATTTCGATACCACGAACCAATACACCTTGCCACCCAGTCATAGTCTTCCTTCCGATTTCTCGGTTTAACGGGATTTTAATTGATGATCTCGCGACAAGTGATCACAATCTCACTACAAGCCTATAAGTCCATCAACACAGACTATAGTTTTTCACTGATATTCATTTGCTCAACGAATTCATGGATAAAAACGATTCCTCATATCATTGACAAATGTCGGAATTACAGTTTTGTACTCTGCTGCTCATATTGCTTAGCGATTTATCCAATTTCTATACATAGACTGTTCATTAAGTCTGTTTCATTGATTGATAATTGAAGATACTGAATAATTATATAGAATCCAAACGACATTGCATGTATGTTGAAAGTATACACCTTGCAACTTTATTTACAATATTATCACCAGTCTAATAGCGATCTAAGGATAGCCAGTGTTCATTTGCCATGTTACTGAAAGCGTGACATACATGAAAGGCATACAGAATCACACTAGCGTCCTTATCGTGTTGTTTCAAAACAAATGACACAAAATACTTGATTAGGGAGATTTACCAACTATCCTCAACTGTCAAAACTCATAACGATAAGTTGATTGAGGCGATATTGCCACTACCACCACTCACGATTAAATAAATATTATAGGCCACCAGTTTAAAGTGAATATGGATTATTTGTTAACAAACCATCAGCTACGAGTTAATGATATCCATGTCCACGCTTCAAATGGAAGTAGCAACCATGGCGCAGTCATGGTCCCAAAAAAATATTCAGAATGGGTGAAAAGGAGCACTACATTTGTTACTCTAAGGCAAAGTAAATACTTACGGAAAAACGTCTTGTACATGCCTCATAGCCTTGAGAATGGCGTAGTCTAACTATGGAAGGTAGCTGAAGAGCACTGAGGGAGAACATTCAAATTACATAATAGTTCACCCGTCTCAAAATCAGGTATTCTACAGGAGACCATCTTAGGTCTACTCCTCTTCCAAATAATTACTAATCACTTGTTAGATAAAATTAATTCACTGGCGCTAATCTATGAGTACAAGGTAAAGATCTGGAGATCCAATGTAAAAGGATCCACCGAAGAGAATTATTGACCATATTGCTTTTCGAATTAAATTTAATTGGTAAATGTCCTATTTTATTCTTGTTTGATTGAATTTTTACTTTTTGGTTTTCAAACTCTTTCGCTTTATAAAGATTCATCTATCCTAAAAATGTACGGAATGGAGTTTATCTAAACTACAGCAGCTTCTGTTCAATCATTTCTGTTTCAATTGTTGTTCTGATTTTATTTAAACATGATATTGATTAGTACCGCGTAATCAGTTAATATAACTGAAAAAAACAATCGCTACAAACAATGAGGTAACATACTTTTCCAATCACCATGTAGCTATCACCTGGATATTCTCAAAGTTCTACTGGGCTGTGATCAGACAAAATCTCTTGAGCTTCTTTTGAGCCTCTAGAGGCTTCATTGCACTTTCTGACAGCCATCCCAATAACGTTTTACAATCTGTTGTACATAATTTACCTAATTACTTCCCATGACCCAGACTGTCTTCTCTACTCAATCGAAAGTTGTACATACAAACTACATTTCATTTAAACAATTATTATTCAAGTAAACTTTGGTCAATTCAACAAACAGTTATTACTGTCACCCAACAGTAAAATTAGTGAAATGATACTAGAAACGACATCCTGATTATCTATATCACTCTAAATCAAACACAATCATCATAGATACCTTATATTTCTAATTCGGATCATTTGGAATCCGGTAGTTTAACCAACATAGATTTAAAAGGTCATGCAAACAATTGCCTTTTTCTAGTTTTGTCAATCAATGGCATATTAAAAATTATTTCTGGTTCATATACAAATCTCTTCTGTAGTTCAGATACCACTGGTTATGAAATAAATTATATTATTGCTGTATAGGTGACAAAAAACACCAACTATATGTGTGAGCAGTTTCAAAAATCAATAATTAATGCTTTTACATAAAATCTCTGATCAACATCAATTGCTGGTTCGATAAAATAATTCAATTGAATTTTGAACACAAAACTATTCAACTGTGTGCCGTACATTTCCTCATCATACTTCATAAAATATATAAGTAGTGATTAAATATAACAGGAATTACATGCTAACGCATGTGAACGTTAAAGTCGTCCAATTACTTTGAACGCAGAAATTACCTACACTCATCAAATATGGATTTGAATTATACTGGACAAATACGTTGTCATTGTTGCCTTAGGCGAACTCAACGAAACATAATTTGAATAGTCTAATAAATTGAAATCAGCAGCCTCTGCAGCAGTAGGTCTCAACATACATAAAGGTAAAAGCTAAATTCTCCGATGCAACACAACATGCACCAACCAAATCACTCTTGATGGAGATGCCTTGGAAGACGTTGACACCTTTACATATCTGGGCAGCATCATCGACGAGAAAGGTGGATCCGATTCAGATATTAGTGCGCGGACCGGCAAAGCAAGGGCCCCATTTCAACAGTTGAAAAATATTTGGAACTCCAAACAACTTTCAACCAAAACCAAAATCAGGATTTTCAATACAAATGTCAAGACAGTTCTATTGTATGGAGCGGAAACATGGAGAACTACCAAAGCCATCATCCAGAAGATACAAGTGTTTATTAACAGTTGTCTACGCAAAATACTTCAGATTCGTTGACCAAACACCATTAGCAACAACGTACTGTGGGAGAAAACAAACCAGATTCCAGGGGAGAAGGAAATCAGGAAGAAGCGGTGGAAGTGGATAGGACACACACTACGAAAAGCACCTAACTGCGTCACAAGACAAGTCCTTTCTTGGAACCCTCAAGGTCAAAGGAAAAGGGGAAGGCCAAGGAACACATTACGCCGAGAAATAGAGAAAGATATGAGAGGAATGAACAAAAATTGGACAGAACTGGAAAGGGAAGCCCAGGACAGAGTTGGTTTGAGAATGCTGCTAGTCGGCGGCCTATGCTCCATTGGGGGTAACAGGCGTGAGTAAGTAAGTAAGTAAGTAATAAATTGAAATAAGTTTATTTGAAAAAAAAATACTACTACAACACAATCAATCTAAAATAGGATTGAAGAAGAATTGTAAGCAAAAGTTATTAGTATTGAATGAGGTTAATTGTTTTCTTAAATTATACAGCGGTCATTTTAAAAAAGAAATTCTAGATCATATCATGAAAATATTTGGCATCTTATTCGAAAATCACGAATACACAGTATACTAGCTTGAATATAAAAAAATGTAAATAAAAATAAAATTATTCAACATTCATAGCTTTACTAAAGTATTGAAATGAACAAAACCTCTGGAAAGACAATGAGTGAAACATAATTTGACTAGATTTTATTCATGATCAATTGATTGTATGACCTCATACAGGAAGCTTCATCAACTAACTGCTAATGCTTTCTTCGTCCAAAAGCTTGTGTCATCGCCATAACAGGTGATTCAGTCGCCAATGAGACTAAATACCCGAAGAAATAAGTGATTGGTAAGACTGCAAAGAACATAACTATCTGAAAGGAAAATATATAACAAGAAAATGAAATTGCATTACGTGGTTGTGAAGATTGTGAAGTTACACATTGAAATCATGAATCGATCAATGTTTGACTGACATTAGGAACCTGGAATCACTGGAGCGCTGTTTTGTCCTAGTATGGGACTCATCGATGGCAGTGCGCATCCACGACTAATGCACCTTGCAAGATTTGAACCCATACCATGACGAAACAGCCATCCAGTGCTTCCAGGTTTCTAATGGTGGTCTAACATTGATCGATTCATGATTTCAATTGTTATAACAAATGTTTACAAATGGCGTATTAGGAAATAGTCCGCATACTATAATAATCTTCAAAATGTTTTTAGAATAAATGAATTGTGGTAGCTGTGCGGAGTAAAGGATATATGTTTTGGGGCAGTGAGCAAAGGATGTACACACTGCCAAGGAAGATTTACAAAAATCCATTTCAGAATTTCAATCTAATAATTCATATCCTTTGTACATCGCATTTACCTATTTGTTTTATCACTAGAGTATTTGGAGTTAGGAAACAACTTGTACATCTGTTAATGAAAGCTAAAAATAGAACTATCACTATGAATAATGCAAATATCAGTTTTTGAATGAAGAAACCGGTGAACATCAAGGTAGATTGTCAAACCTAAACAAAGGACATTAACATTATGGTCACCGAAAATTCAGTTTCAAAATATATAACTGCAGATTGCGATTTAAGTTGGATAACTCTAGTGTTACAAATCACCTTTCACATTATCAACATGTTAGATAAATCTTGTTACAATAAACTATCACATTTTGTAACACATTACATAACTTACCAAATGTAGATCATCCAATAGTATTGGGTTCTGACTTCCTAAAGCAATGAATAGTATCACAATCGGATGTACAAGATAAGCTGTATAGGTTAATCGTGCAGGAACACGGAATATAGATAATGTGAGTATGGAACGAATCGGACCTGTGTTTTTTTTTTTTTAAAAAACGGAGTGATGTAAACATGAGATTTTCATTTAATCTAAACAGTTGTAACGCACAAGATAATTGGGATAAAATCGAATTTGATAAAAAGACGATCAGATCTGGTAAAATATTTGTACAAGTTAAACAATCACAATAAGATTAAGAATAAGGTAGCATGAATAGCAAGCGCCATTGTTGTGGTGGTGTTTTGTTCTCTGAGCTGGTTGTTTTGATTGTGAAGCTTTCATTGTTCTTCTACTGAACAACAACATCATCAGCACAAACTTCAGATAGAAGAAGTGAAGCATTCGAATTTCTCCACGTTTGACCTGTAGCTTGTTCTGCTAACCTCGATCTTGATTGGTTGCTGTTGACTTTTGACCTGTCGTTGTTTGCAACTTTGTTTTGATTGCACCCCCCTTTTGATCTGTTTCTTGATCCTATGATTTTTCTGATTGGTTGATAGATTGAGTCAATGTCGATGTGTTTGTTGATTGCTGATTGACCTGAGTGCCAAGCTTCTAAAAATTCTCTAGTGTTCTTTGTCCTCCCCCTACACAGTATTTCCACATTGTTCCAATCAAATGTGTGTCCATAACTGTCGGTATGTATTGAGATAAGCGAAGCGTTGTCGTGGCGTTTGACTGCTAATTGATGTTCACGTAAACGGAGCGCAATTATTGTAAACTACCAAACTTGAGAAATATATGTATAAGTAAAGACGAGTAGAATCAAACAAATCGTAAGCGTTTGCTTTTTCTTGTTGCGATTGTTGATGTTTCGAAACGACAAGGTGTAACTTCGACTGACAGTTCGAACACTAGCACATGGATGCCGGTATATTCCACTGACAAGTCTCTAAAAGAATGACGCACGCATAATGAATTCCTCGGATTGTCAAAAACAGAAAATACAAGAGAATAAGACTAGATTATGCAAAGTATGGGATGATAATAATACCGCTGATGAGAGGAAACGATTTTGTTAGCACGTGACTTGATTTCCCATAGAAACAGACTTACGTTTCCTGTTTAAAAAGTGGACCGGATTTTTTTTAGAAGAAGAGAGATGTACATTTATGGACGAATTTCGGTTATATATTTTCGATTCGAATAGCTAATAATCAAACACCCAGACTTTCTGTATTTTGGCTCACAAGACAGAGAAACGATAAGTAATAAGGCATTCATATCATGTTGTTCATACTCTCTCTAACTTACTTACCACCACAACCAAGAGCACACATTGAAACAACGATTGCAACACCAAAGATAAAAATAGGTCGATGAATTGCTGTAAACATTGCGGCTCCAAATGTTGTGAATGGTTCAACTTTTCCACTTAATAGTCCATACAATCCATAGACAGTAGATACACAGAATATTGATGATAGGCATAGGCCAGTTAAACCAATGAAAAACTTTGTTTTTAAATTTACATTCTAATAATAGAATTTAAAAAAAATGGATGTTAAGTATTATGACTTTAGTATTAGAAGTTTAAGCTCATTGACTGTTGGTTATCAATAACTACGTCATTCATCCAGTCATAAGAACATGCAGCTTGGAATATTGTTAGGTTCGTTACTAGGTATGCTTGAAACTATTACGGGTTCAACTTAGTCGATAAACGAGAACGAGACAATAAACCAGCGTTGAGGTAGGCTACCGTGATCTGAAACGGCTAATTAGAAGTCTTGATATAGCGTAGAAATTATTTTCTACAAACACTCAGCAAGCACAATGCAATCAAGAACACAAATCTCGTTTATTTATACATCCTTCATAGAAACGTCCTTGGGACAGTCACAAAAATAGCACACTAAAACAACACAGCAGACAATGACAGTCAAGGATTTTCCTGATGGGAAATGAAATCTCAAGGTCAGCTGGTCAGCTCGTGCTCTCAAACGTGAAATCCAAAATAAGGCATTTATCAAGCGAGTTCTTGGGATCTAACGTCCCCAACAAATATGTTTACATTGATTCAAGTTCACATATTAGATTGTTTATCAGAGATGAATTGTCAGTGCGAATCCCAGAGCAGTCAAGGTTTAAACAATTTCGGTGGTGACAGAAGCCTTTAGGTATTGAATATCTAATTCGAGGGGAACACGCGTAATAATGGAATCAAAGTTATCAACAAATGTAGTCAGTATTTTAGAATCTTATTCTCAGACAAAGCAGAAGGAGCGTTACTATGAACGGTTTTTAGCCATGTTATTCATAGTCTCTGACCCACATGATTCAGTTTAAAAGTTTGTATTTTGATGGACTGTTGCCTTTTCTGTGCTTTGATGAACCTTTTCTCGTGCCAAACATCAACGCGTGTCAGTTTAGTCGGTGGGCGGGAAAACGTTATATATGCCCTAATCTTTGTGGTCAGCAGGTCTTTCATCAAACAGTACTATTGTGGTGCGCGCTACTTATCAGTAGTATATGACACGAGTGTAAACGTAATGTCTGGCAGCAGAAGATGGGGGAAGATCAAGAAAGGAAGAAGAGTGGGAACACAATGGAATTTGTATGAAACGCATGAATAATCAAATGTCAGATAATCGATTGATGATGGATTGAAGATTTGCAAATGAACGATTTACGATATGGTTTTCCTATTTTACTGAGTAACTCTGTTATTTGCGACAAATACAATTCGGTTGCCCTCACCTGTGTTCTCCTTCACTACACTATGACAATACTAAAAGTTCCTATAATTGTAGTACTCTCACTAGGCGGTTTATGATTGAGATCTATCGAGTAAGACTGAACTGTTAAATCTTAAGTAACACTGTTTCCCTTTGATGAAAATCAACCATTTGAACTTGACCTGTTTCATGAACTTTTGATCCTAAAAGTGATCTAGAATTTTCACGTGAACACTTCTGCATTAAGACGCAACAATATTCAGTTAAATTATATATTTTATGATATAATAAAAATATTTTAAAGCATTAATGATAGTGATTACTGAAAACTTTCAAGGACAGTCTGTAAAAAAAATTTTAAAATGTACTTTTAACGAATTTATTGAAGCTTAATTGAGTGATTAAAAATCTACTATTTCAAACAACTCATTTAAAGTTCATGTAAATTACCATCATATAGTCAATTATTCATTAGAACTCAAGGATTATCTACTGATTTGCCCAAATATTTCATCAGATAATCAGGCAACTGTTATGCTCGTTACTTGATATGCTTGAAACTATTATAAGTTCTCCTTATTCGATAAACGAGAACGAGACAATGATCCAGCGACACGTTAGGCTACTCTGATCTGTTGTTTCAAAGGAACTAACGAAAAAGTCTTGATCTAGCGTAGAAAGTGTATTCTACAAAACACCCAACAAGCACAATGATTTCAAACACAAATCAAGCATACATCATAGTAACATCCTTGGGAGAGTCACAAAAATAGCACACACACACACACAGTAACCAATCACAGCCAAGGTTTTTCCTGATCGGAAATCAAATCTCAAGGTCAACTGATCAGCCCATGAATAAAATCAAAAATTAAGGCAATTATCAAGCGAGTTCTGGGGATCTAAAGTACCCAACATAACATTCTACAGAACTGTAAGACTAATACAAATATTTGAGAAGAAATAACAATACAATATGCTTGGGATGTGGTTAGTTATGTAATCTAAGACGTGTTGTGACTTGTCATATTGGCCACGATATATCTAAATGTATTCACATCCAAGTGTTGACTTCCCTAAAAAATCTTGAACCTAGTAATTTTTACTTGAAATGCTTAACTTATTATCCACTAGAATACTGTGTCTGAATAGCCAACAACTCGTTTAACGATTATGATCGTATTAATAAGGGATTGTAACTGACAAATGTAAGAAGTGCATCACAGTGAATAACGATATTTGAGATAAAGTATATTACACTTAAATTGACTTTTCTGGTTAGCGTTTTCAATTCAGATGTGGGAAAGAACAAACCAGATTCCAGCGGAGGAAGAAATCAGGAAGAAACGCTGGAAGTTGAGAGGACACACACTGCGGAAAGAACGCAACTGCAATACAAGATAAGCTCTCACTTGGAACCCTCAAAGACAAAGCAAAAGAGGAAATTCAAGGAACACATTACGCTGAGAAGTGGAGACAGATATGAGAAGAGTGAACAAAAAATTGGACACAACTGGAAATGGAAGCCTAGGACAGAGTAAGTTGGGGAATACTGGTCAGCGGTCTATGCTCCATTTGGGGGTAACTGGTTGTAAATACGTAATATTACATTTGCAGAAGCTTAGAGATGATTTACTGTTCCTTTCAGCAGATATTTTTAAGAAACCTGGGAAGTTAGAATTGAATCATGAATACTTTTTGTTCATCGTAAACGTAATAGATATCCAGTATACTAAGAGTAATAAAATGATATTTAGAAAGTACGAATTTCCGACAAACAGGGAAATACTCGGATGAAATGTGTGTCATATACTTCTCGGTTGTTTTCTAGTTAAAGTCACTCTTCAAGAAAAAAATAAATGCATAAGTTCAAAAGAGCAAAACTCAATCATGGCAATATCCATCTCAATGATTTTTGGAATACTAAATCAATGCTGTATGGCTTTGTTGGGATTGCTAATCGAAAAGCCACGCACATTGTGGATTGATGAACTATCTGACTAATGTTCATGATGAACTATATGATTAATGTTCATGATGAACTATTTGATTAATGTTCAAAATATTTAAACGACATTTATATAATTGTATAAATACGCATGTTTGATTGTATATTTTTGATTCTGATAAGAAGCGTTCTCCAACGTCTTTCGTCTTCTTATTTTTGAACGGAGGGGTCTAACGTTCGGTCTGTCATTAGTACAGTGGTTTGGCGTTACATCAAGCAGAAAACATAAAAGGCTTGCATGACAATTTCAGAAAATTTTACAGATCTAAAATTTCTTCAATCACTGGATGAATTATTTGTGATTATAGTTTCTTTCTATTGATATTTAGGTTTGTAATTGATTAAGTTTCAGTTGAAAATATTCATCCTGAATAGATACAACGATATTGGATACTGATAAAAATATTATCAGTCAGTCAGTTGCAACGTAGAACTTCGTACGTATGTACATAAGTTCATGTTGCCAAACCACATCAGCACAGAGACGCAAATGTCAAATCAAATCCCATAGTGATAAAGATAGTAGAGGTATTAATGGCAATGAAGAAGACTAGGGTTTGAAGATATTATTCAAGAAGTATAATTCAGTGAGATAAGGTAGAGGTGCTGTCAATTCCAGAAGATAAGGATTTGAGAGAGCACAACGAATGGATGCACTTGGATAAAAATATTATCCAAGAACATGACTATTGATATGAAGAAGATAATCTAACCGACAAGCTCTAAATAAGATGAAAGTATCAAGTACCAACTATTACAACGCAGAACTTCGTACGTAAGTACATCAGTTCAGGTTGCCATACCCCATCAGCACAGAGACACAACTGTCAGTTCAAATCCAAGAGTGATAGTGATAGTAGAAGTATTAGCAGTAATGGAGAAGATTAGCGAGCGAAGATATGATTCGAGAAGTATAATTCAGTGAGATAAATTTAGAAGGAGAAAGGTAGAGATTATGAGGACATGTCTATTGAGATGAAGATAATCTCACTGACAAGTTCTTAATAAGATGAAAGTATCAAATACCAACTATTATAAATATTTAATATTTTATTCAAACGGGACAAAGTAAATCATTCACAAACGCATTAATAACTGCTGATGAGTCCCATACCAGGACGAAACGGTCGTCTTTCAGTGCTTCCAGGTTTCTAATGGTGGTCTAGTAACAATGACTGATTGATTGATGATTTCAAATGTGTAAAAACACAAACCTTTCAAAGCTCTGCCCTAAAATAACTGAATTGTCTGATAATCTAGATTGCTTGTGCATAAGTCATGACTTTAAAATTGAATCAACATTCCAGTTTGATTACAAAAATTACAATCTTTCAATCAGGAATAATTTAAATAATCAAATAGAAATGCAATAGCTACAAATTAAAACATTTGAAAGGAATTGAAGATACTTCGGGTTGTATTCATACACTTCATTCAGTTGAAAAAACTTACTTTCAAAATATGAATATATTTTTCAAGGAACCAGCCAAATAAAAGACCAATAGCATAAGTACTCCAACGTGTATATGGTTTTATGTACATAGCCGTAAATGAATCACTAGATAAACTGATTGAAAGAAAAAGGTTTGCTATAAAGGTTACTCAAAAGCTAACATGATTAGTTTAATTTGATTATAAGTGAAGAGTATGAGGTGGATTTTTGTAGAGTTGATTAATTTTCTTGTCTACATAGAATAGATGGAGTATGGTTGGTAGTAGAATCTAGAGCAGGTGTTTCGTCTGATTTCGGACTCTTCAAATGAATGTACTTGCATCCCACAGTTGATGTTCACTTCATGACTCGAACCCAGTACCGTCAGGCTCAAACACCATTGTGTTATCTACTTAGCTACTTAGTCTAAGTAGACACTCATTTGTGCAACGAGTGTGAGAGTTAATTCAGTTCAGTATCGTTTGTACCATCCCGTTGTTTTACTTACATTGGTTTTAGATATCATTGGATGTATGTTTATGGTAAAGTGAGTTCGCAGAATTATTTCCACTAAGATTAAAATAAACAACTCTTATTCACATGTATCATGTTCCTCAGGAGTTCTGCTATGAATCATAGTGACCGCATTTCAATCGTTGAGGTAAGTGGCTTGGTTTTTAAACAGTATTTGTTAGAACTACAATGTTTTTCAATATCATGAACTATCAAAAACAACTTAAAATTGTTTGGATTCTATCGTTGTTAACATTTTGACTGAAATTTGATCAGACTTGATTGGTATATGGGCATCCTATTCCGATCACCTCGATACAGCTCGCAGTGGAGTCCAGGATGAGTGTTGCTTCCTATTCCGGACTCGTAAGCAGGCTGTAGCTACATCTCACAATTGATGTTCACTCCATGACTGGAACCCAGTATTGTCCACCTAAATCGCCATCGCATTATCCGCTTAGCTACTTGTCATGCATGAATGTAAACACATCATTTGGATATGCTTGAACTTTTACGAGTTTACCATAGTCGGAAAACGAGAGCGAGGTTCCAGGATCCGGCGACACGACAAGCTACTCTAATCCAATTGTCCGAAACCCCCATTGAATAAACGAAGAAGACTTGATATGAAGTAGAACATGTTTTCTATAAGCATCCAGAAAGTACGAGGTCCGAGTCCAAAAGAGAATCAGGATACTGGACTAGAGATCCGGGTCATAAAACCTTACAGATAATGCGTACTTATACAGTTAAGTCGAATAGGAAACAACATTGAAGTCTGTGACACTGAAAGTCAGGACTGCCAATAGTAACTGACCAATAGAATTAGACTTACAGAGAATTATCCTAGGATATTGGATGTTTATCCTAACACTACTGAGTCAAGATTCCTCTAGTAGACACATCCTTCACTAAGTATCTACTAAAACTGTCCACACAAGAACATACCATTTATAAACGACTCATTGGTTGTATTGGACTAGATGAACTTTTAAAACAAGTTGTTCATCTGATTCACATATTTATCACTTGTTAGGAAAGCTTCTGTGTTGTGACGATATGATAACTTTTGATGAAAACAAAATTATTTCTGACCAGTAATAAGATTTTCATAAAATTCTAAATTTTTGAATTGACTAATCACTGAATAAGAACTAATTTCATGTTTTTTCTAGACCCCAGTGATCATTGAATTCAATCGAGCTGATTGTGATATACCGACTGATGGTTGGAGATACACCTTGCTAGAGAGTATTAACTTGCATAAAAGATCCCGGTTCAAGGACTTCCATCTGAGTGACTGTTAGGATATTCATCCAATATCCTAAGAGAATTATTGGTCAATTCCTATTGGTTAATTCCTACTGGTCAATTTTATTGTCGACCTAGATATTAATGTCACACGCTCCAATGTTGTTTCTTATTGGTTGTCCTGACTATCAATGTCACTCCAAATATTGCTTCCTATTGGTCGTCTTAACTGTCAATGACACAGATTTCGATATTGTTTCCTATCCGACCTAAATGTATAAATACGCATTATGTGTGACGTTTTATGACCACGACCAAGGGTCGGTCCCGGACACCTAGTCCGGGATTCTGATTCTCTTCTGGATTCGGAGCTCATACTTTCTAAATCCTTGTAGAATACATGTTCTACTTCATATCAAGTCTTCTTCGTTTACTCAATGGGGGTTTAGGACAGTCGGATTAGAGTAGCTTGTCGTGTCGCCAAATCCTCGATCCTCACTCTCGTTTTTCGACTAGGTAAACTCGTAGTAGTTCAAGTGCGACATCACAGTGACCCAACTACTAAAAGTTCTGTAATATCTTTCTACTTTAGTGCATGCTTTTCTTCTAAGAAAAACTTGGAGTTTTTATGTTTTGACGGGGCTGCCATAAATTCACTTCAATTCAGCCGTCTTGGCATTATATCTAATGTTCATTCTCGGAACGTAGCTGATAACCATGTACTTGAATGATGAATTAATTTACTTGTTACTGTTTTATAAAAATGTGTTTAGGTTTGTGCTTATCAGCAAAAAAGTTCTCATAAATGTTTTTCAGTCCTCTCCAGTTTATTAATTACGAAGTTATTTCTTTATCCGACTGAAATAAGTAGTTTATACAAACCTTTTCATTTATAACGTTAAATAAAACTGTTGCTCAAATCATTTGCTAGTTTTGACCAAAGGTTTATAAACATATTAAAGATTCTCATTGTAAAAAATTTGGGCAAGACATGAAAGCGAACAATATTGTTTCCAATTAGATCGTCATCAGGCTTTATTCTAATATACATGAATAGACTTAAGTCTATTTATCCGCGTTTGACCTACTATTTTCAATGTTGAACTATGAACAAAAAACGTTTGTCATCGTATTTTATTATTCTCAATGTTATCAGTACAGCTTGTCTTCCTACTATCAACTTGTTTTTTAACCTATTGTGTTATGACGTAATCTATGTCATTATGATTATTGACTCATGAATTGCCTTGATCGGTTTAACATTTTCATATAAATATTAATGTATATTAGAATAAACTTATTGAATCGATCAACGTTAGACCACCATTAGAAAAACCTGGAAGCACTGGATGGTCATTTCATCTTTGTATAGGACTTAATCAGAATTGCGTATCCACAACTCTTGCTCTTCGCAAGATTAGACTACAGTCTGATGATGATCTAATTGAAAACATGTTAGGATATTCATCCAATATCCTAAGAGAATTACTGGTCAAATCCTATTGGTCGATTTCTATTGGTCAAAATTATGGTCGTTTTAACTGTCAAAGTCAAATACTTCAATGTTGTCTCTTATTGGTCATCCGGACTATCAATGTCATTTCAAATGTTACTTCCTATTGGTCGACTTAATTGTCAATGTCACATACTTCGATGCTGTTTCCTATTCGACCTAAATGTATAAATACGGATTACGCGTAAAGTTTTATGACCACGACCACGACGGTGGATCCTGATTCTCTTCTGGATTCGGACCTCGTAATTTCTGGATACTTGTAGAATACATGTTCTGCTTCATATCACGTCTTCTTATTTTTACTAAATATGGGGTTTGGGATAATCGGATTAGAGTAGCATATCATGTCACCGGATCCTCGATCCTCACTCACGTTTTCCGACTAGGTAAACTCGTAATATTTCATGTATATCAAGTTGACGTTGTTACGTGCAGGCGTAACAAAACAATATTATTTGCTTACATATGTTATTCTCATTATCAATCTGTTCAAATTATTATTATTTCATATTGACATTAACTGATCAATCAGTCAGTATGAAGAAGTTATTCAGTTAAAAAAACAAAATCATTTTTTGATCATGCTTACAATGTTTACACAAACCTAATAGAATTAATCAAACTCTCATATGATACAACTTTTTCATTGAACTTACAGTGATAATGCACCAGGCAAATAATTATTTGCATAAGATATACCAAATGTTGATCCAATACTAGAAATTATAAGTCCAAAACTAAATAATACACCAATAGTTTCATTCCTAAATAAATATAGATTATCAATAGGTAAATTAGTAATAATATGAGAATATATTGATTCGAAAATGAATCAAATCAAAACGTTAGTTAATAAATCTTCATCACCTCTAGCTTTCTTTTTCTAAAATTATCTCATTGAATTATACTTGTCGAATTATGTCTTCCCTAAAGCTGCTAACACTACCACTATCCTTACCACTATGAGATTTGAACTGATAGTAGCATCTCTGTGCTGATGCGGTATTGTGTTGCGAGCTACTTATAAGTAGTATATGACGTGAGTGTCAACGTAATGTCTGGCGGCAGAAGATGGAGGAAGATCAAGAAAGGAAGAAGAGTTAGAACACAATGGAATTTGTATGAAACGCATAAATAGTGACAATGGATTGATGTTTTGCAACAGGAACAGTCCAGTTCGATAGGATGAACTGATATTTTGCAAATGAACGATTTACAATATGGTTTTTCAATTTTACTGAGTAACTCTGTATTTTTCGTTAAGTATGAATCCGTTGTCCCACCTGTGTTCTCCTTCACTACAATAGTGGCATCTCTGTGCTGATGCGGTATGACAACCTGAATTTATGTATTCATGTACGAAGTTCTACGTTGTAACAGACTGACTGACCGACTAATTGACAATATTATCGTGTGTTGTTTTTGATAGAACCGACGATCTTTTTGGATGCAATAAGAAATCCTAAGTGCATGTGCCTGTTTAAAATGAACACTCTGATTACATGTACTTGAAGTTAGTTGACGTCATGGGTGAATCTAAGTCATTGTGTGATTTCATAATGGTAGGATGAATCTTTATACCAAAATTTTAGAACTGTTCACGTGATTTGACATATTGAATCACACAAAAAATAATTTCATTTCCATTTATCCAGGAATATCATCATCTGATTATTTTGTGTTGATGAACGAATTTTGATGAGATTTTAAAAACTGTAGAGTGTTATACTTCAGTTTTTTGAATGGTTCACTTTTTCTTGTAAAACGGCGCAGATAATCATGGTTTAAAGAAAGAATGACAGGCTTGTTAACTTATGACTGGAATTCTTCGTATTTTCATATGGCTCATATCAACAGTTAATTACACTAAGCAACAATCCAAGCATATTCGGGATGCGATTCCTCCACCCTCGAAATGCAAAATTTTGCTTCAGGATTGGCTTGCGACGGCAGCTGAACTAGTGATAGGGAGTGAAGTAGTTTAACGTGTCAACCGCTTCACTTATCTTGATAGTCTCATCAGTGCTGACGAAATCTCAGCACGGACGCAGAATGCTCGATTGGCTTTTGCCAAGTTGCGTCACTTATGGCGCAGGCAAGATATCCGTTCGCTAACCAAAAGACAAGTGTACTGCGCAGCAGTTCGCACTGTCCTACTATACGGATGCGAAAAATGTCCGGTGAGAGAAGAGAACATTCGTAGATTGCTTGTCTTCGATCAGAGGTGTCTCTAAAGCATTGCTTGTATATCCTGGGACAACCGAGTAAGCAATGCTATAGTTAGGAAGAGAGTACTAGGTAAGGATTGCAGATCAATAGATAAAGTAGTGAAACTTCATCAGTTGAGGTGGTTGGGTCACGTGTTACCTATGCCCAACCACCGACTGCCTCGACGAGCTATGTTTTGTGGTGTAGGAGTAGGTTGAAAGAAAGCTAGGGGCGGTCAGGCAAAAACATAGCAGAAATGCATGAAATCACTGACAAGTGGACTGTTTCATGTTGGTATATGTAGGCTACCTGGTTGGGGTCCGCGAGATGAAAGACATCAATGGTTAGAGACCTTGAACGACATGACTCAAAATCGTTTGCAATGGCGCAGGTGCATCCACTCTTTGCGTCCTCTGAAATTCTAACCTTCTAAATTCCTCATCGCATTTATCTTTTTGTTTTAAGTTCATTTCACTAGATTCTACTTCTTGAATAAAATCGTCCAACCTTAAAATTTTCCGATTACTGCTAATACTTCGACTACCTCTACTACTATGGAGTTTGAATTGACAGTTTTGTCCTCATACTAATGTGGTACTTACATACCAAGTGCTACGTTGTAACTGACTGACTGACAGTTAATTATTTAACGAGATTCTTAACTAATAGATTCTTGAGTGAATTATTGTAAGTCATAAATTTATGTCACTGTTTTACATTCCATATATGTGTGCATAAAATGGTACTTGTAGTCATCACCATAAGAGGTTTTAAACTGATAAACATTGTTTCAAACAATATTTTATTTTACTGATGTATAAGAAACTCATATGATATGATCAATCAAAGCTACTAACTTATTTGCCAAGCAAAGAATTATTTAGTAAAACTCTGTGCATTTATGTTCTATAACATATGTCTTAGTTTATCGTTTATTGATACCATTGATAACCTTGAATATTAAGTCATGTTTGTTATGGCATCCATTGTTCGATCAAAGAGAAGGATATTATTTCGGAAAGACTGATGTAGAAATCCATGCAGAGAGTGTAACAAACACAATGTTAGATGCAAATTTAAACTTTCTTTCAGACGTTGACTTGTTTGACTAAAGATATCAAATAGTTTTTGGTTGTTTATCTATTTTCGCACTGATTTCAGATAAATACATTTGGTTTCTATTGAAATTTGTTTTGCTGTAAACTATTTCTAGTGTGATTAGATTCGCCATAGTGATCTCGTAGTAGTCTAAATCGGGTAACTATAACTGCAAACTTGACAACATGTATACTCTGTGTGTATAACGTACATAGGAACATCGGTTCACTAATATAATAATAACTCTAATGGAGCATAGGCCACCAACCAGCAATCTCTAACCTAATCTCTCCTGGTCTCACCTTTCCAATTATTCTAAAGTGCTATTTTTTATTTGCCGCCAAATGCTCAGGTACGGTCAAGAGAGGGGAAGGATTCCGCTCTTCTTCTAGAAATGCTCTCATATGACCACGCATATATACACACTGACAAGGAAGTCGAACTCATTATCTAATTATAGTTGGGGTTTTTCTTGGCCAAATTGACAGCCAGACCTAAAACCGCGTTGTTGGATACAGAGGATCTACCTAAGGAGATTGCAAAAGCCTCACTCCAAACTAATGGTGCACATCTGCTAGCGCTTTTTTCACCGACTTATGGATTAAATCTCTATGTCAAAAGCTTAGGGATTGACTTCATAAAACCACCTTCGGTTTAATCACCCCAGTATTATCCCAGCTCAAATACACACAAAATCAATTATTTTTATGGCGTATATGTATGTATTTAGCTACACATCTGTACTAATACTTATGTGTTTAAACATATCATTAATAATAATAAATTTGAGTTAACAGCTCAATTTATTCTGACGTAGCTCATAATTACGTTTATTCTTCTTTGTCGACAGGAAGGTAGCAATAAAGAATACATAGTTGCAGAAAAACTATGTATTTTCAACTCAAAAGTATTTATGTCATGCTAAAATATATTTGAAATCGAAATTTATGTCAAGAATGTAAATGCTTATTTGATTTCTTACACACACACACACGCACACAAAATATCATCATTCTCTAATTAAACTATCACAACATTCTTACCATGTTATTAATGATAAAAATATTGGCGCCAAAATAATTGAAAATTGAATTTCATTTGACAAATACCATGACCATCCCATACACTAGAAAAAAATAAATAATAATTTTTAGAATAATATTGCATAAGTTATTTGTAAGTATAAAGTTTATATAAAAAAGTTAATTTGATACTCGATTTTAATGTTTAAAATGAAGTTTGTATTATGGGCGTTGTGCAGATTGTTAAGTTACTTATTGAAATCATGAATCGATCAATGTTAGATCACCACTAGAAACCTGAGAGCACTGGATGGCCTTAACATCCTTGTATGGAACTTATCTATAGTGCGTATCTACGACTCTTGCTACTGTTGTAGTGAAGGAGAACACCGGTTGAGGGCAACCGAATTGTATTTAACGCAAATTTACAGAGTTACTCAGTAAAATAGGAAAACCATATCGTAACCGTTCATTTGCAAATCTTCAATCAATCATCAATCCATTGTCTGACATTTCACTATTCATGCGTTTCATACAAATTCCATTGTGTTCCCACTCTTCCTTTCTTGATCTTCTCCCATCTTCTGCTGCCAGACATTACGTTTACACTCACGTCATATACTACTTATAAGTAGCGCGCACCACATTCGTAGGATCCGAACCAAGGATCTCCGGTCTTGCGCGAGAATGCCTAACCTCTAGATCATTGAGCCGGCATCCAACGACGTTATTGTGTAGTTCTGATCAATCTAAGGATTTTACACCACATCACTCATTGTCTTGTGTATTTACTGTCTACATCCGATAGGGTTGAACGCCAAGTGGTCACGTCGTCTCTCTAGAACTCCGAGAACCTCATGAAGCTAGTCACTAGTGAGCATGTTTTTTTATATTTTGCATGAGAGTATTATGGAGATCTTAATTGAACATACTGTTCCTGTAGACAAAAGTTAGTCGTGAACCGATGAATAACAGCGTCCTCCGATGTACAAAGATTCTTTATTTGTATTCATTTTAAGCCAACACTTACACTAGCCGATTATTACATAACTTTGAATATTTGATTTTCATAAACAATTAACTGCATGATATCATTTGAAGCTATTATGATTACTACTATTTCACATTATTTTATCGTACAGTAGATTACTAGTTTCGCGAATAAAATAATTTATAAATGCGGCTGTACAATCATGGAAAAGTAAAATTTCCTTTACTGAATTGCATTCATTTTTCATGTTTGTCTTTGTTAGTCTATTCAACCCTTTAAAATAGTTTTTGCTCTCATTTACAATTGACAACATCATTAAATATCCTAAAGAAATTATTTTGTAAGTCTAATTCCATTAATCAATTCCTATTGGTCAATATTTAAGGTCATTCTAAACTATCAAGTTCACATACTTCTAAATGTTGTTTCCTACTGGTTAGTATTCACGGTCAACCTAACTGCATAAATATGCATTGTCTGTAAAGTTGTATGCTCCTCTTCTTCTTCTGTGCAAAACCTCACATTTTCTGGGTGCTTGCAGAATACAGTTTCTACGCCATATCAAGACTTTTAGATACCGTTAGTGTTGGGGATGTACAATCCCCAGAACTCACTTGATAAATATCCTTAATTTGGATTTATTTCATGGACCGATCAATTGACCTTGAGATTAAATATCCCACCAGGAAAATCCTTGTGTTAATGTGTCATTTTAGTGTGCTATTTTTGTGACTGTCCAGAGAACGTCTGTATAGAGTATAAATAAACGCAATTTCAGTGCGTGGATTCGTTGTATGCTCGTTGAGTGTTTGTAAAATACAATTTCTACACTATATCAAGACTTCTCGCTGATACCTTTTGGTCAAAGGATCACAGTAGCCTACTTTGACGCTGGTTCATTGTTTTGTTCTCTTTATTCGACTAAGGTGAACTCGTAAACATTTTAAGCATACCTAGAGTCGAGTATAACTGTTAGTTGGGACTCGCAACGTTCAGATTAGAGTAGCCTATCAGTATCAATGGATCATTTGTCTTAACTCTCATTCACCGACTAAGGTGAACTCGTAATAGTTTTCGAGCATATCAACTAGTGGCAAGCATAACAATCTTATCATGAATTCTATATGAATCATGTGACAATAATGTATTTTAACAAAAATTACAAAGGATAATAATTCCTTCGACTAACTTACTGTTTCTTCTGGATAAATAAAATTATTCAAATATGTGACCCACCAATGATCACGACAAAATTTTAAATCCATTAAATTTGGAGTTTGAGGATACATTGGACCAACATAAGCATGATTAAATAATCCAACATATAATATTAAGACTAAAATATAAGCTGGAGTTAGCCTGAAATTTAAAAGAAAATAGTAACATGACATTTTGATGGGGTTGATTTTTTTACTCTTCATTAATGCTAACTTGTTTTCTAATGGATTTTAGTTAAAAGTAAACTTCAAAAAATTCTGCTTTGTCAGAAGAAACATCGATCATGATGAAATATCTTCAAAATATCACTTTAAACAATCATAATTTGTCCTATATCGATTGGCCGTTAAGAGTAGAAGATATTCGTAGATTGCTAGTATTCGATCATAGATGTTTAAGAAGCATTGCTCGTATATCGTTGGAAAACCGAGTAAGCAATGCTGTCGTTAGGAAACGAGTATTAGGTAAGGATGGCAGATCAATGGATGAAGTAATGAAACTTCATCAGTTGAGGTGGTTGGGACATGCGTTGCGTATGCCTAACCACCGACTGCCTCTGACGAGTTATGTTTTGTGGTGTATGAGTAGGTTGGAAGAAAGCGAGGGGCGGCCAGACCAAAACATGGCACAAATACATAAAGTCAATGACAAGTGGACTAAGTCATGTTGGTAGGTGTCAACTACTTGGTTGGGGTCTACGAGACGAAAGTCATCGATGGTTAGAGACCTTGAACGACATGGCTCAAAATCTACTGCTATGCCGCAAGTGCATCCATTCGTTGAGCTCTCTCAAATCCCAATCTTCTGGAATCGTCAGCACCTCTACCTTTGTCTTTCTAACCTTATCTCACTGAATTATACTTCTTGAATAATATCTTCAAACCCTAGTCTTCTTCATTACCATTAATACCTCTACCATCTTTATCACTATGGGATTTGATTTGACATCTGCGTCTTTGTGCTAATGTGGTATGGCAACATGAACTTATGTACATACGTACGAAGTTCTACGTTGCAACTTACTATATGGATTGCCATTTTTTCTAAATATTTTTAAGTTAATTCAAATTAAAATTTCTACAAATGAAGAACTTCTAGAACTCAAAACAACTGTCAACCAACAACTAAGCTACAATTTTCAAGCAAACGTCAAAACCGTTTCAATGTATGGAGCAAAAACTTGGTAAACTACAAAAGCCATCATTCAAGATGTTTATTAACAGTTGTCTACACAATATACTACCGATCCGTTAGCCAGACACCATCACTAACAACCTATTGTATCAGAGAATGAAGCAACTTCTAGCTGACGAAAAAATTAGGTCAAATCGCTGGAGGTGGGTAGTGCACCAACTGTAGGAATCACTCAACTACATCACGAGTGAACACCTGACTCGAAATCCTGAAGACCGAAGGAAAAGAGGTACACCAAGGAATACACTACGTTGAGGATTAGAGACAGATATGAACAGTGATCGGATAGAACTGAAAAGGAAAGCCTAGGACAGAGTTAGTTAGAGAATGCTGACAGATGGCCTATGTTTCATTGGGAGTGACAAGCATAAGTAAGTAAGTAAATAGGTAAAGATTGCAAATAGTATAGTCTAAAATAATCACAAAACTTGTCTGTCAATAAATCTTAAGAACAGTTGACTGAATGCAAAGCCAGAAACAACAAATTTCTATTAAGTCCACTAATAAGTAAGAAATCTAGATCTGTAAGATTAAAAATCCATTTCTACTAATTCAGTTGAATAATTATTAGAACTAAGCATCATCATTACTAATACTGGTAGTAGTAGTAGTAGTAGTAGTATTAGTAGTAGTAGTAGTGTGAGTAGTAGTAGTGATAGTAGTAGTAGTGTGAATAGTAATAGTAATAGTAGTAGTAATACAATTCCTATTGGAAAGCTGCTTCAGTTTATACTGAAAGTAACCTCTCAGTAACAATCAGCGTAATCAAACTATCCTTGCATGTCAGTAATCTCATTCTGACTAAAAATCGAAAAGCAGCACACAGCTTTATCAAACGCTACTATCAGTGATTATTGAAAATATATTGGGAGCTATTTCTCAAAACTAGAAAAATCATTTTACGACAAACTAAATTTTCAACGGCAGAATCTATGAAAATTCCTTAATTCAACATGACCGGAAAAATACTATCACAAGTACAAATATATTCATAATAACAAACAAAGAGTGCAAATTAAGTGAAATAAGCGATTTGCCACAAAGTAACAATGTGTAACATTCATAGAACCAGTTATTTGTATGATTAAAGACAAACTACTTAATATTTATAAGTAATAGGGTGTAACAAGTAAAGAAAGTACAAAAATGGAATAAACACAACAAAACGATATTTAACCAAAAATACTTCTGAACAATTATTTTTGATAAAATTAAAAGCTATTGTTCCATATGAATCATATTAGTACTATAACAGGCTTGGGAAGAAATAAATGATACTTAAAATAGATGATGAAACTTCGATTTCGATAATTCATAATTACAGTCATTTAACATAAAAGTTAATAGTTAGATAGATTAGTTAATTTGATCAATATTAACTGACAATTTATTCTAAGTTAGTTCTAATTACAAATTAAATTTGGCAGTATTTAGTCATTTCAAATCACTTTGTGCACAACACATTCAATCGTTCATTAGCGATAAGCTAGTTATACTCAACTTCACAAAGAATTCTTTCTTAGTACGTTAAATAATGAGGAAAATTAATCAGTTTTATTATAATATGAAATCACGTTTAATTTACGTAACTAAAAACCAAATATGGTTTCATGTGAATGGATCTTGTCGTACATTCGCGTAAGTAGAATGACAATAGAATACGAAGAGGGAATGAGAAGCGAAGCAAAGTGACGCGGAGAAGGAGAATTGGCCAACTCAGTTCGTGAGGAGTGACTAAATATTTATAGTCAAAGGAAAATAAAGTAGAAATGTGACTAAAGGAGTAAGAAATGCAAATACACACCCAAGTGAAAACATCCAAGGTTATAAGAGATTGATTGATAAGATCAAAAGACGTGTCATTAATATCTGGAGAAGAATACGTTATTTAGTTTATCCAAAACCTGGGACAAGTCGAATAGGCTCGATATATTAGTGCAAGCTATAACATTAATCTGAGTACCACAATCTTATATGAATAAACATCAGTTTGTAAAGTTGCATCGACTAACATCAGTGATATCGTCACGACTAACATGTTATGAATAAACTCTAAAGTAGATGATATCAACTAAGATGAGAAGCCAAAACAAAGGATACAACAGTCAGAGTTTTCATCTGAAGCCACCTCCTACTACACCGTAATTTGATTAACAAATCAGAGGTGATAAATGAAAGTCAAAACTAAGCTTCTTTTTATATACACAAACATTATTTACAGCCATTAACCAACAGACTATTTGTACGGTGTCTGACAATATCCAGGAAGATGAGCCTGATCGAGGTAAACCATCCGTATTCTGAGATTACTAGTCAATGAGTAGAACTTAAACTGTCCTGCATATTGACAATTATTCAGAAAGAGACGAGTAATGGGTTTTCAGCACCTTCATAAAATAGAAATATTATTGTTGGATTTAAAGAAGAGGGATTACAAATCGAGTAAAAGTGTACACCTTTTCCGTATGAATAAAATGAAGTTCCTGAGAAGTTACATTTTCAGTTCTCAATTTAATGGAATGTTGACTTTCAACCTAAAGTAAACACCAGTCAGTAAATCATGAACCTTTGATAACAGATCAACCTAATTTTCAACTCCACTCATCTTTTATTTTCAATGAGTACCACAATTCCAATTAGTAGATATGTAGTGAAAGAGAACACAGGTAGGGCAACCGGATTGTATTTAACGAAAATTACAGAGTTACTCAGTAAAATTGGAAAACCATATCGTAAATCGTTCATTTGCAAAATAACAGTTCATCATATCGAACTGGACTGTTCCTGTTGCAAAACATCAATCCATTGTCACTACTATTCATGCGTTTCATACAAATTCCATTGTTTTCTAACTCTTCCTTTCTTGATCTTTTCCCATCTTCTGCTGCCAGACATTACGTTGACGCTCACGTCATATACTACTTATAAGTAGCTCACACCACAGATACAATTGATATATCTATAACAAGTTTCATTCACCAAAACTAGGACAGAGTAGGTTGGAGAACACTAGTCAGCGGCCTATGCTCCATTGGAGGTGACAGGCATAAGCAAGTAAGTAAGTAAGTAAGTAAGTAATCAGATTACTTTTATTCAAGTTTAAATGATCAATTCTAAAATTGTATTATCTTTCATTTTCACTATCAATCCTATCTGCCAACAACCACTGATTTAAAAAACTTTATATAAATAACAAAGAGACGTGATTTCATTTTATTCTATGATTACAAAAACTTGTAACGTTTTATCTTTTAACTAATCTTCTCTAAGCAGGATAATAATTGAATATATACCCATGACCAATAAACACATTCAACTGCAATAGAACAAGTTGATAGGATTAGCAAATTAACCACCCTAAGGTTAATCACATTTAAAAACCACAAAAAATGAAAGGAATAGTCAAGATTTTGGCAATTTAGCTATTTTTAATTTCACCTCAAATTATCTACGTGTATACATTATTAAATCTTGTTTCCAGTCTATTATTGATTGTGATTAATAGTCATTTGTATTTTTGAGCATCAATAAAGTTTTACAAATTTTTGATACTAAACAGTAAGAAAAAACAAAGGATTATCTTTTTGTTTTAAACACTAAGGACACCTTTAAAACAAGCGTGGAAATTGTTTATTGAATGTATTTTGAATCAAACAAAATAGTGACAGAGGATAATAACCGAAGGTCGTCAAAATCGGTAAACGTATCTAACGAAACGTTCATTTACATCAGTTCATAAAATGATTTATTTTGAATTATGTGAAGTATGTTCAGTTTGGCATACAGCACTTTTCCACAGAAAATACCAACGGTTAAAAGAATTTAGATCTATTAAATGACATGATGGATTCACTATATACGGATGATCACAAAACAATTTTTCAAAACTCCAATGGACAGTAACAGGGACTGTAGAGCGATTTTAACACAAAGCAGAATATTTGTTGTTGACTCATAGTCTGCTTCATATTTCTGTTGTTTCTGAAACTATTCGTTGAATTTATCAAACAAACTCTTCAAATTTAATATTACTTACAAAAATAAACTAAAAACTTGATAATATGTGATTATTCTTTTCATATTTCAAGTAAATTTCTTCTTTTAAACATCGATCACTTACAGAAAAATCAACAAACTAAATTAGAGTGAATTGGGTGGATTTTTGCGTCAGGTTCATATAATTCATATGTCCTATTAGTTTTGAAGAACAATGATTCGAGTGAACATATTTTGAACTTATGCATCATTTCTTCGATTGTTCATGTGTCAAAATTACAACCTTCATCTAGTTCACAGATACCAACGCTACAATTTCCGTTTTCTCCATACATCAACAGTCACAGACAGTCAAAACAACTAATACTTGTCACTTTAGTAAAATACATTTATTATCTATGAAAATAGTTCACTAGTGAATAAGTATCAATTGAAACTACACTTACCGTAAAGTACGATGAAACACGAAATGACACCAAAACTTAATCCAATGTTTCCAACCATGAATTTGTCGAAGCTTTGGAATAGTCAGATAACTAGATAGTAAAGCTCTGAAAATATGAAGTAAAATAAATTGAAATAATGACAGTAAGTCATCATAAACAAGACTATAATTGTTATTCTTAAACTATGATAAAATAAAAGTGAGTTAAGAAAAAAATCGAAACGACTGTTAAGCTGTTATGTTCGACTCTAGGTATGCTTAAAACGTTTACGAGTTCACCTTAGTCGAATAACGAGGACAAAACAATGAACCAGTGTCCAGGTAGGCTACTGTGATCCCTTGACCAAACTGTATCAAGAAGTTTTGATATAGTGTAGAAATTGTCTTCTACAAACACCCAGCCAGCACACAACGAATCGAAGCACTCAAATTGCGTTTATTTATGCTCTTTAGAGACGTCCTTGGGACAGTCACAAAAATAGCACACTATAATGACACAGTAACCAATCACAGTCAAGGATTTTCCTGGTGGGAAATGTAATCTCAAGGTCAACTGATTGGTCCATGAAATAAATCCAAAATAAAGATATTTATCAAGTGAGTTCTGGGTATCTAACATCCCAAACACAAGCAGATGGGATTGAAAAGAGAATACTACGGTACTGAGACTCTTTATGCAAGAAGTTAACAAGTGTACACTACGATGTTGAAGTAAATAACAGTGTCGCTTTGAATTTACAGACTGATGATTGTATGTTTTTTTTAAAAACATCATAATCAATATTTGACTGGCTACATTAAGAGTCTTATTACATTGTGAAATAAGTAAACCGTAATTGAATTCTTGCAGGTAATAATTATTTATGTAATAAACTGATTCACATTCATAATGAAAGCAGAATGTTTATGATTTCTCTAATATTACATGTATGTGAGTGAAAATTTTCGATATTTAAGGAATTCTTTAAGAACAACTCTTTAACAACAACATTTTGCTTAATTTATTCTACATAAATTTAGGAAAATGAGGCTTTTCTAACTTTGTGAAGCAGTTGAACGAATATGAGATGAACTTTATCTTCAATGATGCTTGAAGATAGATTGTGATTGAATAGAAGAAACACGATCATTTTGATTGGTGGTAGAACACAAAGTATGTCTCATTTTAGTCAATAATTGAACGAAGGTGTATTCATGGAATTATAATCAAAATGTCTTTTATCATCTGGGAATGGGTTGTAATTTTTTTTTGATGATAAAACCGACTGTTATAATTTTCAATTTAAATCGATGAAGACTTCCCACTAATATTTCGGGAGAAATCATTCACACCTTTAAATAAAATTGCCTGTAGTTTGACCTAGTTCTTTGTTCTGTTCTCAATAACTGACTACTTTCAACTTTATGATTAATTTAGTGCCTGATGGTTTGTAATATAAAACAAGACTGACTATTACCGAATATATGTAAGTTACAAATGTACATATTAGTGACCCAGTAATACATGACACATTTAAAATCACCAATCAATCATTGTTAGACCACCATTCGAAACCTGGAAGCACTGAACAGCCGTTTCGTCCTGGTATAGGACTCATCAGCAGTGCGCACCCACGACTCCTGCTCCTCGCAGGATTCGAACCCGTGACCTTCGGTATTGTGCGCGAACACCTAACCATCGGACCACTGGGCCGGTATGCAACGGTGCTGATCTGTCCCATACCCGGACGAAACGGCCATCCAGTGCTTCCAGGCTTCTAATGGTGATCTAACAATGATTGATTGATGATTTCAAATGTGTAATTGTAAACACAAACCTCCAAAACTCTGCACCAAAAGACCTCAATTATTTTGATGGAAGCCTAACAAAATTATTATAAGCCAGTAAATACACAGTAGTAATATTAACATGTATAGAAAATATCACTCATGCTATTATTAGAATAAAAAATAACGGTTGTACTAAAGCTCAAGTAAAACAGGAATCATATAGACGTACGACATAAAAAAGAATGTATCCACTGAGACAGTTGCACCAATCACTACTTGATAAGTCCATTTTGGTTGATGAGTTTGTGAATACAATAGCATATTATCTGAAAGAGATTATAGAAGAAAATCAAGATATGATGTAGATGAATGCATGGTAATGTCATACATTTCTATATGGTCAAATAGGTCATAAATGTCTCAAATTAGATAGTAACATAAAAACTTTTGAACACCAATCTTATGTATATAAAATATATATTGTGGTGGTGTTTCGTTCTCTGAGCTGGTTGTTTTGGTTGTGGAGCTTTCATTGTTCTTCTTCTGAACAACATCAGCTCAGAGAACGAAACACCACCACAGTCATCCACCTGAGCTACAAGTTTTCACCATATATATATATGTACTGGTCTGTAAATATGAACGGGCGAACTATAAATTTACATACTGGAAAATAAACATGTCTGTTCCTGAATGCATGCAACAAATGCATTAAAACTATATCATCAGGTGTTTCTGCGGAGTTGGAATACCAAAAAATGTATAGTGATACAAACTCCCATTATTATTTCATAAAATTTGTTTTAATAGAGTTATACAGAGTTTTTAAAAAATGATGTTATTGGATAGGAAATACTCTTATAAGAAACTTTTAAATTCATTTTGTAATAATTTAGAATACTACTGTGAGGCAAATAAATACTTCATAAGTTGTATAAATTTTTTCGAAAAAATATAGAATCCCTTACATTCTTACTGAAATGATAACTTGATTAAATAGATTTTAGACAGATTAGTCAGTTATCTGAGAAATTATATTTACACATTTGAAATCATCAATCAATCATTGTTAGACCACCATTAGAAAATGTGTAAATACGCAAACCTCCAAAACTGTGCCCTAAAATATCGTAACAGTGCTCACTAGTGACTATCTTCGTGAGGAAATTCTCGGAGTTCTAGTTGAGAAGACGTGACCAATGGAGTTCACCCCTGTCGGGTGTAGGTAGTAACTACCAAAGACAAATGGGTGAGGATATGCAAAATCCGTAGGTCAATCAGAGTTAGACATTAACACCGTTGGGTGCAAGCCGGCCCAGTGGTCCGATGGTAAGGCGTTCACCTGCAATGCCAAAGGTCCCGGGTCCGAATCCTGCGAGGAGCAGGAGTCGTGTATGCGCACTGCTAAGGAGTCCCATACTAGGACGAAACGGCCGTCCGGTGATTCCAGGTTTCTAATGGTGGTCTAACAATGATTGATTGATGATTTCAAATGTGTAAATACGCAAACCTCCAAAACTGTGCCCCAAAATTACATTTACACAGACTAATAATTTTATGTCATATATGGAAGGTTATAATCGAAAAATTGTGCATTGACTAAATAAAAAAGACCGAAAGATACTTTAATTACTTTTACTCACACTAACAAAAGCATTTTTAGCTTACTTGCAGCAAACATGCTAAACATTATACAATGTCCATAAATTATCCAGACCATAGTTAGAAATCGGATACCATCTAAGCAAAGTAATGGATGACCACAAGGCTGATCTGATTTATTCAAAACTTGGCTTCGTTTAGAGTAACATAGACGCAATGTGTTGTACGGTATAGAGTAGGTTGCAATAAATCGAACAAACAGATTTATCTTGGACAATACATCTGATGATCACAAAAATAAATTATAAAAACATAACATACAATCAGATAGCTAGCTATTAAACACAATCACATGAGAAATTGAAAATTGACTAGCGATGCTTTAAATCAAGAACAGATATTAAAAACCATTATTTCAATTATTTTCACTTCTCTTAAGAAACTACAACTGCTAAAATGATGACCTTAAGGCATTATTTCAGAAACTTTTCTTATGCGTTTATTACAACATTCAGTACAACAAAGATACAAACCGACATTTGAACGATGCAACCACGTGCGGATGGTTTTAACCAGATTTATAGTATTTAAGTATTATTACTTTTGAAATTAAAGAAGAGGTTTATCATTTTACTTAATAGCAACCACTTGAATAAGCTACCCATTTAAGTGGCGGTTAGTCATATTTGGTGAAGATTCAAACTTCAATATTATATTGAAAAAGTTAGATTAGGCTACCAAGGGAACAGTAATAGTAGAAGTATTAGCCTTAGTAGTGGTGTGGTGCGAGCTACTTATAAATAGTATATGACGTGAGTGTCAACGTAATGTCTGGCAGCAGAAGATGGGGGAAGATCAAGAAAGTAAGAGTTAGAAAACAATGGAATTTGTATGAAACGCATGAATAGTGACAATGGATTGATGTTTTGCAACAGGAACAGTCCAGGTCGATATGATGGACTGATATTTTGCAAATTAACCGTTTACGATATGGTTCTCCTATTTTACTGAGTAACTCTGTAATTTTCGTTAAATACAATCCGGTTGCCCCACCTGTGTTCTCGCTCACTACAGTGGTAGAAGTAGTAGTTGGTGTTGTCGTAGAGACTAGACACGAAAAGTAGAAATGTAATTTGACTCATGGCATGAAACTAAAAAACAGATGGTTGACTGCCAAACCTTATGAATACATTGTAGTTAACAGTGATAATTCACAAAAACACAAAACATTTTTAGCATAAACGATAATATGAGACGATTTCATTGCTAAATCATTGCATTTCATAGGCACATTTTATACTATAGTTTCCTGTAAACTATGGAATAAGAAACTTTCAGTACGTCACATTAGTTTTTCAACCCATGGTACAAAACCTTAACCGTAATAAATTTCTTCCAGAGATATTTTTATGGCGATTACCCTAAGATTTAGCATTGTTTCTAACCATTCGATGAAGATTATAATTGTGTCTTTATAAATGTCCACGAATAGGTACACTTACCTGATCTATATTCCAAATATGATAACTTAAATGAGTTGGAGTGATCACATGAAGTTTGTTCAGCTATATTTCCATGTTCAGTGATTCCTTCATAATTAATAAGAGCTGCACTGGTTGTAGATGTTTCATTAGGCGAGTTAGGATTAATTATCCTGTTGTACAGAAATTCATAAGTGTGATAATTCCAATTACACCACAAAACCACATCAACCATTGTTCCGTTCACCAGAAGAAAGATCATAAAAACTAACAAAGACCTAAAGTTGGTAAAAAAAGCATTTCATTCATTCATAACAGTAAGTTAAAGATTGCGCAACAAATTTCCTAATCAAAACTATTATCGAAACTAATTAAACACACATTGTTGATATTATTCACATATTTTCAAAAAGACAGATTTTGGCCTCCTTAAATGAACAAAATGATTGTGACCACTGATCTACACGCCAACTGCTAACCTATATACCTAGGTAGAATCATTATGAATACTTATGAAACCATCACAAGGCACAAGTGCTGTCTCATACATAAAAATGCACAATTTTATTTTACGTGAAAGTCTTTTTTATAATTCTTGAAACCAGTACAGTCGTTTTATTACGACATTTAACTTGAGCGAAGTAAAAATACTAGAAGATAAGTGTCTAGAAATATATCCACAGCAAAAAGTCGCCAGTTTAAATGAATCAGCGTTCAGATCTAATAAAAACTATCAAAAAGCACAGAAAAGGTTCAGTCACTTCAGTAAATTAAAAAATAAATAAAAAACGGTCAAAACGATTACACTAAAAATGGATTGGTCGAGAAGAGATATTACAACCGTTGATGCACATACTTTCGCAAAATGAAAATACAGTGCTTAAACTCACATTGCCACCCAAAACCAACTATCTTTGGGTAGTTCTCCGAACTCTGCATGACAAAAACTTGTGGATTCATCTACAGATAAATTAACCTTGGAAAATACTGCACAAACATTAGTTAAAATTAACAAACCCAAATTAAGCAGCCAAATCATATCATCTTTCGTACAAGAGTTCGGTATGCATACTCCGTAATTCATTTCCATTGACTGATACAAATATATAAGGAGAAAAACATACCATTTTTTGAGGGAGATCTTCCGATGAGGGAAGTTTCACATATGCAGAACAGTACTTTCCTTTAACATGCTGAGACAGACCAAAGCTAAAATCTGTGATATTTCGACACAACTCCATGCTTCCCACCCAGTTTATACCACCACCAGAAACACCGGGAACAATCTTACCTGCAGCATCCAACCCTTGAGAGGAAATAAATTCAAACATCTTGGCCTACATTTCACTGCCTCTTCGTTTGATCGGATGATCCCATAAACGATCGAAGTCACATCGATAACACATTCAGAGCTTTTATACAGTGGATTACTTATTAACTCCTTCTGGTTTAAATACATAAGCATTTCGTACACTGAAATAAGAGAATAATCAGCCAAGGACGCAAATGGTTTCAGAAAATTTGCATCGATTGGATGAAGAAGCAAAAACATGGAATTTTCGTAAGAGTAGAGAGGTAGAAGTTTGGTAGACGCATGATTAGGTAGACATAGTCCAAGGAAAGTGAAGAACAAACAAAACCAACTCATCTAGTAAGAGACGGAAAGATGAAATGTTCAGTTTATAGTGTAAGAGTGAATCTAATGTATTAAATTGAGAAATGGCAGTATAACTTCTTAAGTTAGTACCTTGCAATTGTGATCAAATTGGCTGAATTTACACAAGACGTGACTCTGAGACACTATAACAAATTTCAATACCCAATAGCAGTGTACGAACTACGGTTTCTATCTGCTGGCTTTTTGGTGGTACAATAAAGTTCTCAATCTGTGATGGCAATTTTTCAATAAATTATGCGTTCCAATACCCAATATCTTTTTCATGAGATATTATATGCCTTCTGTTAAATCAAATTGACGTCGCCTAGTTGGCCTCTCTCCATTTACAGGAAACAATCTAGTTTCGTAAACCACATTGGTATATTCGATCATTCTCGAAGATAAAAAAAAGTTGTCTATATTCATTGGCTGACGATCTGAGTACGAATTCGTTCAAACGGAACCATTCGACGTCAAACCACTGTGCGGTATGTCTAGCTGTCTTGACCAACTGCTCTCTTCCTAGTTGATGTGGCAGCATATACTCATTCACTCACAAAAACAGGACTTGTGGAAAATTTACTGGATTCATGCGAAGTTGCTAATCAGGACGGTCAAAGGTAAAATTGCGATTTCGGGATCTTTCAGGATTTATTCAATGGTAGTAATACTTACCTATTACTATTTTCCTCCTTCCAAAACTGCTATCTCGCATATTTTCATCTTTCAATTGTCTTGTTTTCAGGTATCATGTTAAGTGATAAAGTCTCCACCATTTGTTACGCTATAACAACTAGGAAAACCTTTAAAGGTGTGAATTCCGGAGTTAGTAGTCGAAAATCTCAGTCACGGGCGACAGGGTTGTAAAAAACTCAAACAGTCGCTCGACAGCATTCTTCGGACTAACTTTCAAAATTCGGATCACTCGAAGCAAACACCTTAACAAGCTCTTCAACATAGAAACCAAGACGACATTCCTCAGATCACTACTCCTAAAAAGACCAGTAGACAAAATAAGAATTGGGGATAAAGGTGTCCCAAGGTTCAGTCGACACAGTCTATCATTCAGAAATCTCAGAAGGATAACTGTGTCGCCTGCTCAATCCCAGTCAAAATCAGTGACTCTGCTTTTCAATCCAATTTTTTTAGTACATGTGTCTGTTGTTACTGAGACACTACAGTACCCAGAGAGTACCATGGAGACATACTGAGTCACTCCTGTCCATGGTTCTGGCACATCTCTTAACAATACGGAAAATTGGGTGAATCTGAATAACGGGAAAGACAACAATTCAACTCACAAACGGCTACTAGTCAGGGACAGGGGCAATAGATGTTACGGGAGAAACGAAGACATTTTGCTGATCAAAACCTTCATGTATAAATATCATTAATTTCACTGTTTTTGGGTACATTTGTTTTACTTAACTTGTGAACTTGTTTGAATTATTATTTGCGGACATTTTGGACTCCCGTTTCTCTTTGTTGTTCGTTTGCAGTTTTTTGCTCCAAGAGCTAATAAATTAGAAGGTAATTGTAATTATTATAATTATTGTTGTTAGAACGACATTGGTCGTCTATTTGTAATAAAGTATTTTGGTCGAATTTGTGATTTGGAATAAACTTTGGTATCTACTTTGGAGTTTCGTTCTTGGTTTAAACATTTGGGGACTGTGAATTACAAATAGCTCGACAACCGTGCTTCGTAAGATCAACGAGCAAAAAACTGGACGTAACAATAGACTGAATAGACTTATTTCATTTTATGTTCTAGTGTCGGAGAGTAGCTTACTAGGAGGTAGGGCCGACTTTGATAAAGAACAATGTGACAGGTAGTGCGAAATCCTCGGAATGTGCAATATCCCAGCAAAAATACGCTCTCTTCAAAGATCAGAACTTCACGAAAGGAGAACCCCTACCGATGAGGTAGCACTAGACTTGGCACAACTTGCCGACGACATCCTCCTCTCATCTTAGAGACCTTTAGTCAAACTGTCCTCCCCGATCCATTCAGGCACGACAGGATATCACAAGGCACCCAAGAGGAGACCAGTATGGTAGTTCACAGCGCGTTCAAGCTGGCTTGTGATAACTTGGATGAAGCTTATGTGCATGACGTGCAACAGTGGAGATGGTTATCACGTAGCCTGGGCCTTCACATCACAATGGCAATTGACATTTCCAGGCTACCTCACCCGTCACACCTCGCGTCTATTAAGTCTGATGGCTGTGACATTCAAGAACCGGCAAGACCTGACTGAGGCACTCCAGGCTTGGTACATTTCTAAGAACGACCTGTCTAGTCACATCAGGTGTTGCAAAAGCCGACCTAGATCTGTGAGACCACAGTAGAGGGGTTAAAAAACGCACAAAATTGACAGTTGACCCCAATCAACAGCCCTCGGCACAACAGTCTCGCAACTGAACGTATTGCGCAGTTAAAAAGCCTACAGAGGCCAGTTCCCACAGAAATGCCCAACTTGGTCTGAACAACTTGTTTAAAAACCCAACAGCGGCTGTCGCTGCAGAGGTGCACCAGGTGCTGAGAAAAACTACCTAGTGCCTCTACAGCAACGTACGAGGGATAAAAGGTAATCTGTTGGAAATCAGGAACATGTGCTCTCAGATGGACCTGAAAATCATAATCCTAACTGAAACATGGCTATCCCCTAACACTGCTGACGACGATGTGGGCTTGCAAGGCATGACGCTCTTCCGAAGCGATAGAGTAAACCAGACAGTGTGCGGACTGGCTATATATATATAAACAGCCACTTAAAAGCCGAGCGGCTATTCGACAACCGACAAACTGGAGTGACAGAATAATATTGGTGTCGTTTCCACACAAATGGCACTAAATACTTGATTGGAGGGATTTAACGACCTCCCTCGGGTACTAAGGCCCGGAAAAACAAACTGATCGGGGTAACACTGCAATTGCCACTCCTGTGGTTCGATCAAATACTCTAAGCTGGAGATTTCAATACCCCATCTCTAAATTTCGGCGATCAGAGTACAACTACCACTGGTTGGTTCCAAAGACGACTTGGAGCAGCCATTAGGAGATAGGACGAAAACCAGCCCTATCTTCGGTACATTACGGCGAATTACGCGCGCATTTGGGAGAAACATCTACGCTCCCTGTGGCCACTGGAGTGGCATAGGTTGATAGTATATGATCACTGGCAAACAGTCAGAGACATCGTCAGGAATACTATCTTAGACAATCTACCCCAGTCATACTACACACCTGCAAATATAAGGACATGAGTTAGGCGAGGCACAAAACGCTTGTTATAGACGAAAATGTGAGCCTGAAGGATTCCGACCAAAGTTCGTACTTGGCATTCAGTAGCAGATGCAACACTGAAATTCTGAGTGTTAGGAGACACTTTCAGATGAAGCTAGCTGTCCAGTTACAGGCAAACCCGAAGCATCTGTTTAGGTTCATGTCCAAAAGAAAACCTACGAATCAGGGATTGTGTTCTCTTAAAGATACAAATGGGGAAGACAACACAAACCTAAAGATGTCTGAGATCTTCAACGCTAACTTTACTGAGCAGTTAAACCAGGCACCCACATGTACAGAGCACTACGCAAACCCAGTGCCAGCTGACGACTTAGGGAACATCCGTATCACTCCTGACTTAGTACTGAGGAAACTAAAAGCCTTGTGCCAGATACGTCACCAAGTTGTGACAAAATTCGTCTCACAGTCTTGAAACAATTTGCAGTAACCCTCTGTTCACCGATATGTGACCTGTTCAGGCATTCACTGGAGTCACAAAAACTCTCAGCCGAATGGAAACAAGCTACTCCGTCTCCACTCTTCAAAGAAGGAGATAGAAAGGACCCAGCCTGTCACAGACCAGTCGCATTACTACCAATACTGTCAAAGTTAATGGAAGGGCTGGTGAATGAACAAATGAAGGAGTACATGGATAAGAATAAAATACTCCATGAAGCTCAACATGAGTTTTGGAAAGGCAGATCATGAGCATCAAATCTTCTCGCAGCATTAGATATTTTGACATCCTGCTCGGATCGAAAAATACCGGTGCACATAATATTTCCAGACTTTGGAAAAGCCTTTGGCACAATACCTCACACACGCCTTGTCGCGAAGATTTTGGAAATGAGCATCACTGACACACTCCTAACTTGGCTCAGAAACTATGTTGAAAATAGAAAGTTTCATAACCAAGTCAATAGAACGCACTCCAGTTGGTGAGTCTTAGCATCACGAGTTTCACATGGGAGCACCCTCAGTGAATGGCTTCAATAAGAGACCTGATCAACGCACAACTACACTCCCTCTTGAACTAGATGTCATGAATGCATGTTTCGAGACTAGCTGGTTATTATCATTGCCACTTTCTCAGATCGATAACCTGAACTGTCTCGCTTAGAAGCTCTGTATCCTCTCCCTAGCGTACACTTTGGTCCTCTCGCACACTAGCAACTAATAAACTAAATTATCCATTAGTTACTTAGTCCTCAAGTCTTACTCTTGTCGGAATTGGAATTTTCTCCTTATTATTCTCTATATTGCAACTAACTGTGGCCATATCGACTGGGAGAGCATTCCGAATAGGTACAACTCCTAATGATGAAAAGTGTGTTAGAACCTGGGTGTTTCCCCCTAGATGACCGATTTTCGAGGATTATCTTGATGGGGGACATGGTGGTGATGCTTTTTATGTTTTGTGGATCTGGTTTTCTCCCGTCGCCACTTTCATGTTTTGTACTTGATGTAACGCCAAAACACTGTACTAATGACACACCCGAACGTTAGACCCCTCCGTTCAAAAATAAGAAGACGGAAGACGTTGGAGAACGCTTATTATCAGAATCAAAAATATAAAATCAAACATGCGTATTTATACAATTATATAAATGTCGTTAAATATTTTGAACATGAATCAAATAGTTCATCATGAACATTAATCATATAGTTTATCATTATTGAAATAGTTTATCATGAACATTAA